GGTCTTGTCCACGCGCCCAACAATCTCCCCACTTTCTCCTTCCACATCTCGTCCCTCCCAACATGCCCTTTACCTGGGAGAGCTGGGCCGCTCCCCCCTCGGACCTCCGCCCTCCGCCCTGCCCTCTGGCCTCGCCTAGCGCAGCACATCTCCCATGTGCGAGACCCCTTGACTTCAGCAACACCCCCAAGCTCCAACCTGACCCGCCAAGCCTTTCCGGAAGGCCTCACCCTCTAGCAACCACTGCCCGGACATGGGCGGCTATATAATAAAGTTTTTTTTCTCTCTCTCTCTCTCTCTCTCCTGCCACCTTGAGATTCCTGGTGGAGTCTTGCAGGTGCATCCCGGCCGTCGCTGGCCGCTGCGCAGGGGCCAAGGCTTTAAACTAAATTAGCCGCTTGTTTTTTTCTTCGGTGAACTACTTTCCTGCCAATAAAAAACAAGTGCGCATCTAATATTACTGCTATCAAAATAATACTAATTTTACGCAGCGTTAATTTCTTCTATTATTTTTACTCCGTGAACACTGCTATCGAGATTACACACTTGGTCTACCGGAGCGAGCGTAGTGTGCTCCCCGAACTCACTTCATTGGAAGTGTGTTCTTCGGGCAGGGCTGGGGATTGAGATCAGGATCAGTGGGTTCTCTAGCGCGAGCTTTTTCTCCACGTACTCCGATCTGGTGGGGGCTAGCCCACTCGACCACCGGTACCCCTTAATAAAGACACGTTAAAAAATTAGACGTTTACAATTCTCTGTAAAGCCGAATTGGAGCACAGCTCTTGAGGAGGCGGGGGGAAGGGTACGAAAAGGAGGGTATGCCAGCTGCTCCCCCTCCGTACCCTCCCATCCTCCTCTCCTGTTCCCATCCCACCTAGCGTAAAACTTTCGCTAAATTTCCCGCCAAATTAAGCCAGGAAATTTTCCCGCTGAATTGACGTGTGACGTCACATGACACGTCACCTGAAATTTTAAATGTGACGTCACGTGACGTCACACGGGTAAAATTTGCCCACTAAATTTAGCAGAAAAATTTTCCACCAAGCTTAGCAAAACCTTTTACCGCGAAATTTAGCGAGAAATTTTTCCCTCGTGACGTCACACGTGACGTCACACGTGACGTGATTTTGGGAAACAGCCCTTAATGCAACGCGCGGTTACGCCGACGCCGCTCAACTCAGAAACGAGTTCCTAGGAGCTGTGCTATAAAACAACGTTACATTAATGAACGATTTTTATGCCAATTGGATAAATCTCATCGATCCTCGCAAGCCAAGATAAAGAACGAAGCATATCCAACTTTGGTGTTCTGCTTCGTTCCATGGAAGCCTACGAGGAGGCCTTGAAACTGCCTAATTATACTCCGTGACAACTTTTCTTGGCAATGCAGTGGAAGGTACAGGCCCGCGTCCCCTCTCCCATTTTGAGTGTGCGCGGGCTCTCCTCCTCTCCCCGGAAATGGGGGAGGAGGAGAGCTCCTCCCCCATTTCTCTCAAAATTGGGAGAGGGGACGCGGGCCTCTACCTTCCACTGCATTGCCAAGAAAAGTTGTCGCGGAGTGCAGATCATAATTATCCTGTTGTCTCGAATAGTTCCATACTGAAATAAATGTAGGCTCCATCATTCTCTGCTAACCAAGATAGCCATTGAATGGCTGACTTTGTCGTCCTCTTTTATCAATTCACGCTGCGCTAATCTTGGTTCAGATCAGCCTAAACTCCAAGTCCACCCCACCATTTTTTGCAATGCCACTCTTCTACATGTCCTCTCTTTCACGAATTTCTTTTTCTTTATAAAATAAAACTTACGCCACCCTTTTGGTTTCTGTGTTGTTATGTTTTACTGTTGAAACACACCTATTGATGCCACGCACTCGATTGAGCGAAGTGAGTTCGTCAAACTCACTCCAAGCGAAGTGCGTTCCTCAGGAAGGAGCCGTGTGGCACACTATAAAAACGACACTAAGGGCGAAGTGCACTCGCTTGTAGTGACACTAAACTAGCCCGTCTGACAGGGGTATAAGGATCATTCACACTGCCCCATTTTCTTACGTTAAGTTACGTTACGAAATGTTACGTTGAAGTCACCGGGAAGCATGACACGCGACATTTGAGACACGAATGTTTCGGTGACTTATACGCAACGTAACTTAACGTAAGAAAATGGGGCAGTGTGAATGAGTCTTTAGCCTATCTTACTGGGCTCTCTTAAGTGTGTTGACATGACCCATGTGCACGCAAATTTTTTTTAGCACTTGCATTGCATTCAGAGCACAGAAAACAAGCTGTACGAAACCTAACACCGAATTTGCGAAAAGGTCAAACATTATAAACTGTGAAAACCTAATTCAGTTATCGCAAATAACAATAAAAATAGCTTTCCCCTGGAGCATTCCGTTCCTAAGTAAATACCAGAGTTTATTAAGCTGCCTTTTTTTTTTGTGTGTGTACACCCACACAAAAAAAGTAAATACCAGAGTTTATTAAGCTGCCTTTTGTTTGTGTGTGTACACACACACAAAAAAAGGCAGCTTAATAAACTCTGGTATTTACTTAGGAACGAAATGCTCCAGGGGAAAGCTATTTTTTATTGTTATTTACGATAACTGAATTAAGTTTTCACCGTTTATAATGCTTGATCTTCTTTTCGCAAATTCGGTGTTAGCTTTGATACAGCTTGTTTTCTGTGCTCACATGTTGATTCCATTTAAGATAGCTCGGAATAATCACACCCAGGTACTTACACGGCTAGAGATTGAGAAAGAGAGGGGGGGAGGGGGAGATGAGAGGGGGCGCCAGAACGCCGAGCTCTGACTGGAATGATTCGTGAGTAGACGCAACGCTAGCAGCTTTTGTCTCCACTCACTCTTCAAGCGCCTAACGTTCAGCGTTCGGCGTTCGTGTTCAAACGCGTTCGTATAGTGAGTTGAGACAAAGACCTTTGCGCCTGTTTCACCTTATCATGTACCGCAGAAAAGGCTACAAGCGCGAGCTCCTTGCTCTAGGGCACATCTCGGCGGCACAAGCTCTCGTGACTTAAGAGCGGCTGCCAACGCTATGAGCTCGCGCTTCGCCATACCCCCTCTTCCTACCCCTCACCTCTGGGAGCAGATGTTGGGCGACCCGGAGGAGTCAGCCCAAGTCCTGACCACCTCCCGGGCCCTGGCGATTGCGGCGGCCCTCTGGGCCTCCGCCACCCCCAATACCTGATCTCGGAAGAATAATAAAGTTTCCTCCTCCACCTCCTCTAGCCTTGTGTGCGGTACAGCATAAGATAAAACGGAGTATTGGTGACGTGCGCGATCGAAAGCGTTGCTGTGGTCGGCCTTCCACAATTGGCCGAATGCTGACTATGACGTCAGCAAAGGATTTCTTATCGACGGAAATAAGAGGAATGTAAGAACTTTAATCTTGACGGTGTTGGCAGTGTTGCTTTGAGAGCGCAATGATTTCAAGCTTCCACCATGCTATTTACAAACACCATTGAACTTCTTGTTCGCAAGGTAATGACGTCACGAGAGGGAACCATAGGAGGGCGCCACCAAAACATCTCGCCGCTAATAGCCACTAACATAGCCTCCGCTGGCACATTGATACTTTAGACCCATGTTGTCGTAAAAAAAACTATCTCCAAACTCCGGTCTAAAAACATGCTTTTCGTACAAGGCTCGTCAAATCATGAGGCGCTGGAGAAATGCAGCCTTCTGCGTTAAGTCCTTATTTTGAACTCTTTTTGTTTGCCTTCCGCCCATTGAAAAGCATGCGGGAAGGGCCTTAGAACGCACCTGGTATCGCTGCGCCGCAGCGTTCTTCCGCATTATAAAGTTCGTCTGCTTTCCTCGCCGTCACCATGGCAACGAACGCCGAATGAATAGAAGCACGAACGGTACCGCCGCGTGAAGCCAGCAACAGCTGACGCCATTTTACGAACGCCGTCTGCTGCAAAGTGCAAAGTTCGGGTCGACAAAGTGCAGCAACAGCTGCACTTTGTCGACCCGAACACTGGTGCGCACACCAATACAGTGGAGGGCACCTAGGCCCACGTCAAAAACTATCTTCCATCTGGACGGCGCGAGAGCCACTATTTCACTGGTCACCTTGCAAAGTTCATGTTTTGGAGGAGAGAGAAGGCGCGCAGAAACACTGATAGATGCCAGTCGTTCGTCGCCGCGGCCGCCAAAATCTACAGCCCCGACGCAGACAGAGACCTTCCCTATTGTGCGGAGGACGAGGATTCTGACGGCCCCGGTGACTTCGAGTGATCCGCTGCGCTGAGCCCGTCGCCCGCCTGAGTGCATAAAGACGACTTATGCGCCAACCGCCCGTCAAGTGCTCGTTACGTCAGTTATAGGTTTGGGAGCAGTCGAAGCGGCCCTTTTTAGGGCCCCCATATTTTGCAAACGGAGCTGTGTTTTGAATGCGGCACCCCTTGTCTCTGTAAAAAGTTCACAGGAAAGACCCAGCGAAGGTATGTGGTCCCCAACTTGGATATCGCGTGTTATGATTCAAATAAAAATTGTTCTTGCTTATTTCGCGCCTTTGAACCCAATAAATGCCGCAGTTGCAGTTGTCCCGCGGTGCTGTTGCTCGCCCATTCGTCGTCGGCGTGGCTCAGCTTCGTCGTCTTTGCTAGCGGCGCACCGGCGAAGCCGGCCTTTGATCTGAATAAATGCCGCCGTTAAGCCTAGTTCACATGCAGCGGTTTTGGCCCTAGGGCGGCGCGATTTCTGCCGTCGCGGCGCTCTGGCCAGCACCAGCAATTCTGCGGCACCAGCGCCGCGACGGCAGAAATCGCGCCGCTCTAGGGCCAAAACCGCTGCATGTGAACTAGGCTTGAGGGCCAAAATCGCTGCATGTGAAACCCGCTTTACAGTCGCCCCGCGGTATTGTTGCTTGCTCGATCGCCGTCGGCGTGTCTCATAGCGAGTTCGTTTCACACGCACTGGCACCGCGGTAGTTTTGTCCCACAATGCAACGCACTCACCAAGTGCTGCACGGAAAACCGGTCTGAAACGAACTTGCCGAGTGGAGCGTGATGCTTTCGCCATCTATGTTATGTTAGGTGCACTAACTACTGCTAATTCCGAAACAAGCGTCCTGCCAGGCGGGAGAAAGCGATCGGCGGCACTTTACGTTTACGATGGCAAGTAACGGGAACAAATTGAGGGTCGTGGAGATTTTTACGCAGGGCAAGAGTTTCCGGCATGAACTGACTGCGGAGGAGTTCGAAGAGGTCACGAAAGGTAAGCAATATTTCTATTCTTATAGTACTTACGGTTCGAAAATATATCCGGGTGCAAAATATCAATCGATTGGTACCTCAGACGTGACACCCCAAAACTACGGCTTACAGCTATTTTATCCGTAGGAATCTGAAGCAATATGTTTCCGGATAAATTCTAGCATAACTGCTGTAACATACGCAAAGGCACCTACCTCCAAAGCTCGAATGACTCCGTTCTCCGTTGTAGCCGTACACCCGAAACTGGCGATAGATCGTTCCCGCTAACGATACATCGCATTGCAGATCCAAGCAAGCTTGCATCACTGGCAATAGCACTGTGTGCTCGTCGCAAAAGTGCGGGAAATGACGGTAATTTGGACATATTAAATTATATAGCGCGCGGCTCCCAAGAGTCGCGATATTTCATAGTCGCTGCTCGACCATTAATTGGAAATGTTTCACTTTCAGAAAATGTAGCAAGCTGCAATCTCCCACCAAAGGCTGCAGAAGGTGGTGCTGAGAACTCAACCGGTAATTTCCCACTCTTGCAACAGTACTTGACATAGTACATTTGGTGGTCCAGATGTCGAGCCTATAACTAAATGAATTGCAATAAAAAATCGAATTTGTAAGCTACGACAGTGTTACTGCATAAGTTCATATAAGTAATAAATTTATTTTGTTAAATTAAAAAGAATACCTGCTTCAATCAAAAGTTACAAGGGAAAACAAAAATATACCTAATTTCGTGTGGATTCTAATGAAACCAAAAAAAGTCGTGGTTCATGTGCATGTTTGATAGAACAATATAGTCCAGGGGAAAGAAGTTCTCACCTTGGGGGGTTATCGTTCAGTTTTTGTCTATCAGACGTGGCAGTGGTCCGTAGGAATGTTATGAAGTTTTTCTTGCTTTTATTTATAACTCTTGACTAGGGCAAGTTTAACCTTCTATATTTTCAAAAATTAAATGCATCACCTAGCCAAAATTGTGTGGTAACTTAGTGTCATCGTTTACAAATCAGGTTTTGTTGTGATTTACGCATGTCTCAGCCCAACATCTGGACCATCCAGTTATATGAAATGTATGGCGTTTTCATGATTAAATATGCTTTCACGTTTCAGTGAGGGAGTGGGGAGAGGGCGAGACACGGCTGCTGCTGGACCAGTACAAACAGTACTTACCGCATGTGGGCCCTATGAAACGTTTTGCAAGGAAGAAGAACATCTGGGCACAGATATCAAGCGACATACACACCCAGCTAGGATCTGTAAAGACAGAGCTGCAATGTGAAAATCGGTACAAAACTCTTCTCAAAAGGCGCGGTGGAGCAGTGAAGCACAACAACACATCTGGTTCTGACCCTGTGCCTGTTCCATTCAAAGATGAACTTTCTCAGATCAGGAGTATAGATGACAGCATTTCACCTGAGGTTCTGAGAGGTGTTGGTAGGGTTGAGCAAAAGCCCATTGCCACCCCTGGTCCCTCATGTGCACAGAATTTGCAAGGCAGTGGGCCCCCCCTGTTAAGAAGCGTCGAGAGAGCTCGCCTGTGGCAGAGGTGCTGTGGCGCATCCACGAGGAGAAAGAGAAGCAGCGACAGCAAAGACACAAGGAGGAGATGGACATCCTCATGGCTCTTTTGCACGGTTCGCAGCAGCAAGTCGCTGCTACTGACTTTGATGATTGTTAAATTTATTTTGGTCTTCAACGTAACCTCAATCTATGTAAGCAGAAGTATATATCATCTCGAGGAAACATTAAAAAAAAACATTTGTCATTTCGTGTTTGTTGAATAAAATTGTATTTACAACATTCTGTATTTCTATAAAAATGTGTCATGCATGCATATGGACTACAGAAATATTTTCAAGGTGGTGAACACAATCACATTTAGGGGCACCTTTGGAGATGGCGGACCAAGTTGGCTCTCTTGCGTTCTCCGAGCTTCCTCAGAAGAGCTTCACTTTGCTCTTCGTCATCTTCATCATCATCATCCTCTCTCTTCCTCTTCTTGTCGTTATCTTCCTCGGGAGGAAAATCATCGTCTCCGTTCAAGATACATAAATTGTGAAGGACACAACATGCCAGCATAAACTTCGTTGCTTTCTTTACCCTCCAGAACTCGAGGAGCAACAGCTGTCTGAACCTCGCCTTCATCACGCCAAAGGCATTCTCGATCTTCACTCTTGTTTGGCTAAGCTTGAAGTTGAAATCTCTTTGAGCTTGAGTCATCTTCCCATAGTCCCTGAAGGGCGTAATAAGGTGTTCCCTGACAGGGTAGGCCGCATCACCTAGAATGTGATATTTGCCGGCACAGCAGATCTCGGGCAGCTCATCCTTGATGAAGGATAACTTGTAAACCTTTGCGTCGTGTGTTTTCCCGGGAAGTCCACAGAAGACATCGAGGAACTTTCTGTCTGCGTCGCAGATTGCTTGCAGGGTGAAGGCTGCCTTGTCATGCCTGTTCACATATGTTGAACGTACTTTGTGAACAGGACACCTGGTTTCGACGTAGGATCCGTCGATGCACCCAATAACATTGGGGAATCCAGAGATCTGTAATTGAGCGAAGACTGAAAATGTTGCCTGTTCCAAACAACACAAGGTTTTCATGCTGCTAGCCAGTCCTTGCTCGTGAATATGAACGAAATGTACAGCGACCGGTCTCTCGTCCATGCAATTCTGTCCTGTTAATATACAAACCCGTAGTCCGGATTATGGACAGTTATTCTGGAGATGAATTGGGTAAATACCGGCAGTTTCGTCTTGTTATTAAAGACACTGGTCCTCAAGAAAAAAAAAAAAAGGTTTAGTGATTGGCACAGGTCTGAGTGTCTCTGGATTTTACTATTGTCTGTTATTTTTTGCCAGACTACTTGTATTCAAAAAAATTACAAAAAAAAAATAGAGTTAACTGCAGATTGCACTGCGCCTACCCGAAATTTTTGTGGTGCTAGGAACTCGTCAAGCTGCCCATGCAGCTTTTTTTCCCAGCCCCCGCCATTGTAAAAAAAAAAGGTAAATAAACATTGAATTGAATTGAATTGAAAATTCACCTATGTTATTCTTAACACTCGAAGCAGCTTGTTCGCTTGAATAGCGCCTACTACTAAGGCTCAAGTAGTCTAATGAATCGGACCTAGATTCATGTATGCGGGGCTTGCTCCCTGTTAAACTAGTTTTACATTTTTCAATGTATTCAAAGCTGCAGTGAATCAACTTGAATAACAAGAAGACATAAAAGAAACTTGCCGTTTCAAATTTCTCTGCACAGGCTGCCTTTTCCTCACTAGTGTTCGGAAACTGGATCACTCGGGGGCTAATTTCATCGAGGAAACTTGCCACGCGCTCTATGGCGTAGTGCAGCGTGCTCTTGGCCATGTTGAACCTACTCGACACATCCCGCAAGCAAGACTTGTTTCCGGCAAACCTGAAAAAATAAAGGTTATGACACCTACTCGGGAAAACAAAATTCAGAATGTTCAGTTTTAGCATATACTAGCCCCGTATCGCTCCAATTTGCTCCAATCTTAAAACAATGTTAGAGAGTAACTTACCAGAGGAATGCCAACATATGTTCCTCTGCCGTCTTTTGCTTGCGCCCACCATGGTTTTGGCTCTTTCGGTAGTGTACAGATGTCTCGTAGTCTGCTATAAGCTTGTAGCAGACTGCTCTCTGCACCCGGAAATTCCTTCGAAACTGTGGGGTGATTAAAAAAAGTCATCACTGTAATAGCACTTCGTTAATCGACAATCCATACACGACTATTGGTGGAGGTGCAAATGTATGTTTACAATCTAGGCTGACCATATGGTCATCGAGTTTTGTGTCTATTTACACAGAAGCATTATAGCGCTTAGGGTTTATTAGCTTGGTACAAATAAACATATTTCCTACATTCACCACATTCGCTGCTGCCGCCGCAGCCCGACCCCCACCCCACCACCACCCCGATTTGCCCCACCATGGCAACATGCTGTCGACGTGCACGACGAAAAACCACACTTCATTTATTTTTTTAATCAGCCAATAATATTTTGGAGTTCTGACATCATGGCAAGCCCTGTGCAAGAAGCAGACGAATTTGCGCTCCGCATTCCTTTCAGCCAAAATTAATTAACTACAATTACAAATTACCAAGAGAAGCAATTATATCATATTAATTTAATTACTGTAATTGAATTACTACTCAAGCATGGCTGTCGGGCAATATTATTGAAGTCAGCCAAGTATTCTCTAATGTAAAAAAATCGCAGACTCCTGCGTCTTCAGTTTGCGCTACCCCAATTCCGAATCTCAAAACTAGTCTCTTGACATGCTCCCGATCTGTATGACATGATTACATCTTGTGAATGTTGCGATCACTTTTCTTCGCAAGCGCAGGCTCAAACGAGCGCGAACATTCACATACCTCCTCATCGTCGTAGTTGTGGACGACGTCGTTGATGAAATTAACAACTTTTGGCCGCGTCACCCTTCTACGGCGTGTGAGCACCTCAAGGAGTTCTTCGTCTTCACTGTCAGAAGAGCTAGAGTCGAGCAGATCGCCTACCAGTGCTAGATGCTGCAAAGAAATCATCTCGCTCTGCTCGGCCACTGATCTCTTGCTCGGCACTTACGATTTCGGTTTCTCCCGGGCGACGTCAGCGACGCCCCGATGCATGCCGGGATTGCATTCTAGCGCACGCCCGATTTTCTCGGTGCAAGGGAGTGCGGCACTCCGTGCGTGCGGGCGCTGAAACGAACTCAGAAAGTGCTGCCACCCGTGGAGTGCTGGTCGAAACGAACACGTTTTCGGCCGCGAGTGGGCACGCGTGGGCACGCGTGCAGTGAAACGAACTCGCTATCAGCTTCGTCGTCTTTGCTAGCGCCGCACCGGCGGAGGTGGTTGATCTGACACACCGCGTTCGGCTTTGGCTAGCAGACGGCGCTCGTAAAATGGCGTCAGCTGTTGCTGGCTTCACGCGGCGGTACCGTTCGTGCGTTCGTTGCCATGGTGACGGCGAGGAAAGCAGACGAACTTTTTGATGCGGAAGAACGCTGCGGCGCAGCGATACCAGGTGCGTTCTAAGGCCCTTCCCGCATGCTTTTCAATGGGCGGAAGGCGAACAAAAAGAGTTCGAAATAAGGACTTAACGCAGAAGGCTGCATTTTTCCAGCGCCTCATAATTGGACGAGCCTTAAACGAAAAACGCGTTTTATTGGCCATCCCGCGTCCTGTTTTTTTTATCCGTAACATGGGTCTAAAGTATCAAACTGCCGCCTCCGCTATTAGCGGCGAGATATTACGGTGGCGCCCTCTCTTGGTTTCCTCTCGTGACGTCATGACTTAGCGAAGAACGAGTTCGATGGTGTTTGTAATGATCATGTTGGAAGCTTAAAATCATAGCGCTCTGAAACCAACTTTGCCAGCACCGTCAAAATTGAAGTTCATACATTCCTCTTATTTCCGTCGATCAGAAAATCTTTGCTGACGTCATAGTCAGCATTCGGCCAATGCAGGCAAGCTTCGACGCGCAAGTATCAAGGCTAAGGTCCGCTGGATATCCTCTACAAATATTGACGTCGGTAACCGAGGTTATCCTCAGAGAAATCAAGCTCGGTAGCGCCGCAAAAATACCCAGAGACAGGACAACCAGACCGGTAGTCGTGCCATATATGCATAATCTATCGCATGGTCTAAAGAAAATAGCGAACAGAGTAAATGTGAATGTAGTGTTTTCAGCACCACACAAACTTCACAGCCTCTGCAAAAAAGTAAACACCTCCTCAATCAGCACCGTCAGCTGCGCAAAGAAACACAGATCCAACTTTGTCCCATGCGTTGAAGGGGTAGTCTATTCGTTTCCCCTTTCCTGTGGAAAAGAGTACATTGGACAGACGGGGCGGTGTTTGAACGACCGCCTGCGAGAGCACAACAACAACATTGCCAATGCCAACTCCGGTCACCTAGGTATTCACTGTAGGGATTGTGGCTGTTTTGCGCGACTGGACAACTGTGCTGTGTTAGGGAGGAGTAAAAACCAGCTCACCCGAGAAATTATAGAAGCGGAGAACATTGCAAGACGAGAAGCCCAGTGCGTTAGCACTCCGTCCTTAGCTTTATCGGGGAAAGAACTACATTATTTAGACAGAAGGTGTTTAAGACAATAAGCCAGTATAACCACTGATTTTTTACATCTTATATTATTTAACAACTAATTTCTGTAACTCTTGGACTTTTTGCATCACTCAAACTATTTACGCCGAGAGTGTAGTCGACAGTAGGCCAGCATATCACCTGGTTTATACCTGTGCGTGATTAATTTTGTAATTATTTTTGTAATTTTTGTAACTCTTGGACTCTGGTGCATTAGTATTATTCTCCTTTATTTTCCTTTTCGTTGTCTTCTATTCATCTGTTTTCCTTTTCTTTTTCTTTCGCCTTCCCCCATTTGCCTTTTCTTTCCCCTTTTCTTCCTTGGCAACCTATTCCTTGGGGTCGAAGAAGAGGAAGTTTGAAGTTGATAGTTCAGCGCTGTGTGAGTGTATTTTTTTGTGTGTTTGGATTTTGAATAACTGTCTACTTGCGCTGGTTCGTGATGATGCCTTACCAACTCGCCCAATCTGCAGTATTAACAGGCCAATCGTGGCTTGCCGACCACAGCAACGCTTTCGATCGCGCACGTCGCAAATACTCACCAAGCACTCAGTTCGTCGACGGAGCCATATATAAAGTGCCCGGTCGCAGAATTGGAGCAGCGCGAGGATCTGGTAGCACAGAGCATCAAAGAACCATTTCTCGGGGAACCCAGAACCGTTTATTGAGAGAGTTTGGCCATACATTGGTTTGAATAGGCGAGCATCTCGGGGCCAACCACAGGCCGCGAAATAGCCCCTAGCGGTGGTCGTGTGCTCTAAATATGTGACACGACTAATTTGAGCCGTTTTAGCGTTGCTAGAGTGAAAAAGTTTGGCTTTCGGTGACTGACATCTTTGTGCATGTGAAATTTTAGTCACGCCAATATTCAAGTGTAGAATAAGCGAACGTACGCTCGAAACCAGGGCCGACTTTCTAGAAACAGCGTCTCAGCTACGGTGTTCTAGAGAGTTGTAGTGGCAAGAGCGGCGGCCAACGCGTGAAGATTTTGCGCGTAGACGACACCGTAGCGCTGCTGTTCTGAGCCCTAGCAGCTGTTTCAAGAAGCATGAATAAAGAACGAAGCGCCGGCGACACACGCGCTTCATGTCTAGGGTCCAGCGGACATGGCCTCGTCTCGTCCTTCCTAGATATTAGGAACGTGCGCCCGTCAGCCTCGTCGTCGGCGCTGCTCGGCGTGTACGACTGTGGTTCGACTGGAGCTTTTAGCGACGCAGAACAAGTGCTAATCTGAAAAATTATAGGTTTTCCTTTGCACTAATGCCTCTAGAGTGTGTGCTATCCTCTACTTTTATCATTTGCGTGTTTTTGATGGAAATAATTTGGTTAATATCGACCCCCCTCCCACCCCTTCCCAATACTGACAGGTTGTTCAGCAACGCGATCACTTGGGCTGCACTTAATAGCTGCGAAAGAAACCACGCGATACTGATATAACAAGGAAAAATAGACGAATAAATCTCAATAGGTCTCTCACTTTTTTAATGGTGAGAGGAACAATAAACTGGTGTATTCTTTTTTGTCATCGTGTTGCCGATGCAGGGACCAGCGTTGTGTAAGGTGCAAGGCGGAGCGCGTTTGGGAACGGCCAAGGTGCCACAGCAACTGGCGAACATATAGCAAATTGTCTTTTGTGGGCAGTCTACGATGAAAAAATACCTCGATTGGGAGTACATGAAGCATTAAAATACGATATGAACACAAAATTCAACAACCCCTAATATGAAAAAAACAATTTATTCTCAACTCACTGCTTTATGGCTTCTCAAAAGTGGTGATACACTTCATCGACACACACAGCAAGCACATGACAGATATCCATCAACGTACGCAGAAATACTACAAAATAGTCACAATATATTGCGACATAGAATCCTAACCTCTTCGCCATTGACGATGTGCACATAGTCCCGAAGGATAAGGCGCGGTTCAAAATGTCTCTCGCACACTGCTGATGTCTCGGCGAGGCGTTTATCTTCTCGATTAAGATCTCTCCCCCCCCCCCCCCCCCCCCCCCCCCCCCCCCCCTGTAGTCTGCACGACTCCTCCTTTGGCGCCCAAAACAGCGACGGCTTACGATCGCTGGTGGCTGCCCTTGTTGACAGGGTAGCCCGACTTGCATCCCGGCGCGAAGCAGTTTGTGCGTCCGTCTTTTTTCTTGCATTTATGACCGAGACGGCAACGGAACGAGGAAGACTCTTCACCACTACACCGCAAAGAAAAGTGCTACGGTGCTACGTTTGGGAGAAGCGTACCGCCTCAGCTTCGTCGTCTTCTTCGCTCATCGCACATCTGCCACCTGCAACAAATTCTCC